TCGGCCGGGCAGTGAGGGGGCAAGCTGGGGCAGCCCCGGTTCTGATGGGCTGGAGCCGGTTCCGGTCCGCGGCGGCTCTCCCCGTCCTTCCCTGGACTTAGCTTCACGTCGTTCCTCAAAGAGCCCGGTAGCCCGCGGCCTCTGTGTGTGGCAGCGGTTGTGATTTGGTGACCGTCATTTACCCGGTGCCCCCAAGTCTCACAAGTACTTCAATTGGAACAAGTTATCTGCTCTTTCAATCATAAAATTTAAGGATAAATGTGCAGTGAGACCACTACAATGATAGTGCTGTGTCCCGAAGGCCACAGGTAGCTGTAGCAGAGCTGAAGACTTCTCAGATAGGCAAGAGACCTACCGGGCTTTTGGCCAGGACTGGTACATTTGACACAAGAATAGTTGAGAGGAGTGGGAGCACAGGGCTTTGCTGGATGTTACACTGTCATAGAGCAGTACTCATCTTTGAGCCTTTCTAGTGGTTGTTCATAGTTGTCTTTGTCTCTTCCCCTACCCTTTTGATCTGACTTACTGATACCCAGTGTAGGTTACTGGGAGTTTTGTTGTTAGGATTGATTGGTTTTGTTTTTCTCTAGGTTTTCTTAAATTTAGTTGAGGGAACAAGGTGCAAAAGTAATGTTTTGATCCAAAGTTATCCATTGGTACATGGTGCCATTTAGTATGTGAGTCATGATGCTCTTTGAAATCAATAGCAGACAAGGATTTCCTTTCAAAACTGAGGAACTGCTACTTTTTTTGTTGTTGTTATTGACGTCAACTCATTTATGCAGTATGAAAATGTTAAGCAAAAGCTTGAAAGAGCAGATGCCTGCCTTTGTTCTCTGAAGATCACGGAAGTGGAGGATGTCTGACTTGCTGGTGAAGGACCTTTGCCTGAGAGTGCTGTAAGGCCTAAGAAATGCCCATGCAGAGCAGGAGTGCTTCTGCTCTGCTTCTGTTTTCGGGTGGTAATATCTGTGCCTCGCTGAGCTTTGACTGATTATTTCACAGGAAACCCTAAAACCAGATGAGCTTTGTCTCGGCACACTGTAGGAGACCTTGTGCCAAAAGGGCTGTTGCAGAGTCCAGTGTATGCTACACTTTCCTGATGTGCATCAAAGAGTGCCCTGGCCTTGCAAACCTGGACCACACTGTGCCCTTGTGAGGGCTGAGGATCTCTGCCCAACTCAAGAGTGAGGGACCTGCATCGTTTCCCAGACTTGTTGTGGTTTCTCTGGGCGTTCTTCTCACCCATAGCAAACATCCTCCAGATACCTGGGTCTTCAGGGCCCTCAGTCTGGACTTCTGGTTCCTGGCAGGTAGCAACAGGACCAGCTTTTAGGTCCAAGAGGAAGAGAAAGATGAAGGGAACATCTGGATGCTGGAGAGAGGTGCTTATACTCACACCAGTAGTTTCATTGTCAGTGGGATCAGGTGGCAACCTGACAGCCCTGGAAGCTCTGTTAGAGCCTCTTGCCCTATTCCTAGGTGATGTTAATATGCTAATCTCCTAATGCTTCTCAGAGAGGCATGGGTTTTGGCACTGCTCCCTTTAGTTACAAGGGAGAAGCCTGGCAAACAATCCAACATTAAGCTAGGATTTCCTGTCAGATTGCTGTGGATGCTGCTAATGTTGCATTGTCAATGCTACCAGTAAGAGTTGGGTTAGAGCTGACACAACTCTTCTCTTCCAGATTTTTGACACAAATGTTGCCGAGGGCCTCACTCCCAGGCAGCAGCGGTACACATTTGTGTCCTATGTTTGTTTCAAATATTGCAGGCTGGTCCAAAAAGAGAGCACTCCAAGTCATTTGCCATCAGATGACTAAGGTCTTCAATCATCAGGCTGTCCCCCTTGGTAGCTACACTTGGCAGGGGACAAAGCTATGAGCAGATTACTGTTTTAGTGGCACTAGATATTCTTAAGATGCTGGCCGTGCCAGTTTCATGTCTGCAGATGAATGAGGTTCCCATGGCTCCTTAGCTGGAAGGAACCTCAGATGAGTAGTTTCATTCTGTTATTTTGACTGTTACATATCTTTTCAACATACGTGGTGTCTTGGTAAACCTCTGGAAGTCCACTTAGCTGAATTGGACTTGATCACCAGAGCTTCTTGCTGTTGAATTCAACTCCATTGATTGGATTTTACCTTAACTGGATTCTTTTGTCTGGAGCAAGACTGGTCCTGTGCTGCTTGTACCATTATGCCTGTTTATCCCAGGGTCTACCAGCATTTTTAATTGGATAATCTTTTGTTCTATATTTTACTGTGGAGCTGCCCTTGTTAGCTGCAGAGGTCAAGCTCTTCTGAGGGCCTCCAGAAATGTCTGTGTTCCTCACTGACTGCAGAGGGCTTATTAGTTAGTGCAGATTGACGTATATGGTCCCTATGTACCTTTACAACCCCTTTTGCCAGGAAGCCCACCGTCCAGCTTTCCAGATTAGAAGTGGGTGGAGCACTGACCTGGCAGCATGAGGTAGAGCAGCCTGGTACTCTATAGATACTACCACAGCAGAATAATCTCCATGCATGAACACTTGTGGCATATAGCTGCTCAGATTTAAAGTGGGCAACCAATCTGCAAACTCTTACAAATAAGGTCCTTTCACCCATATCTCCTGATGTTAGTGGCACACAAGAAGTAGGGTTTTGATTTGTTTTGCTTTTCAGAAGGATGAATCTTTCATACAGCCTTGTTAGTCTCTTTTGGATCTTCATTTATGTTTGTAAACAGAGATGATGAATGCTTGTACCTTCCTAGCCCATTTAAGGGAGGGAAGAGCAGGACTCCTCATTGATGCCCAGGTCTCCATCGTTGCTGCGCTGGCTGCTCCTCCAACCCCACTGATGTTATGTATTAATTACTTGAGATTGCCTTACACAGTTTTCCATGCTCTGTTCTTTAAGACCAATCAGTATTAATTTGGTGTTTAAAATCCCCATGACTGCTAGGGTAAGGGACTGTGGAATCCAAAATGCTCTTAAGTCAAGCTCCATGAAAGAGTTGACCATGGAGGGACTTCAGTCTGAACTTAAATATTTAGGGAATATTTAATTTTAGTAATAACACATGGTACCTCTTCACCATGATGAGATCATGGTGATAAGAATAAGATATAGGAAGTTGTATTCTCCCATATAGTGGGGAATTCCCCCACACACTGCACCTGAATGTAACAGGACCTTATTAAGGTCAGAAGACATTCTTTATCTTAACGTAAATCTGTATTTTTTGGGGAGTTGAGTTTTGGTTTGTTTTGCTGGTTTTTTTTCCCTAATGATATCAGGATACCTGGAAAGGTATTCTACAAGTGGATTCAAATCCAGTTGTGTAAGTGAAAGTGTTTTAAATGGGAGCAACTTTCTCCAAAGTCCTAATGGTGTTTTAATTGTTACTTTCAAAGCAGACTGCCTAGGTCATGCAAAGGGCGATAACAGCTTTCATACTGTCAGGTTGAGAATGTTTTCTGTTAATCCAATTATGTATTTTTAGATGTCTTGAAGGGTTGGCAAAGGCATCCATTAAAAAGAAATGAAAATCCATTCTTTAAAATTTTTCTTGAAGGGTTGGCAAAAGCATCCATTAAAAAGAAACGAAAATCCATTCCTTAAAATTTTTAGGGTATTGCTATAATGACTTGAAAGACTGAGAAAACTGTGAGAAGAAGAATAATGATTTTCTGCTTCTGGGAACCTGCTGTTACAGCAGTTGTGAGGCCAGTTTTCTGTGTATATGCAGATGTAAATACTTGTTGGTGTGCTGCTGGGGAGAAGCATGGTATAAGAGGATTTTGAGAAACTCTGTCCAGAGATCAGCCCTTACATGTTTTGTGACTTGCGAGTTACAATTCCTGTGACACGCACAAGCACAACTGGCCTTACACTGAGGCTAGAAACTGTTACCTTCTTACCTTCCAATAAAATATACAGTGTGTTGAAATGTTGGAGTGGAAAGAAAGCTAGACAGCCTCACAGGATTTTTCTAGAAATCTGGAAGACTGAGTGCTTTTCTTTAATAACCGCACTACATTCGGCGGGGTGTTCAGTAGGCTTTGTAATGTAAAAGGGTAGTAGCAAGAAGTTGTAATCTCTTGATTTTTAGATGTGTTTGCAGTGCCCTACAATTCTTAATAGTATTGACTGTTGCTTAGTGTAACAGTGCTGGAGTATGGAAGATTTCTGACTTAACTATTTTTAAATGCTTCAAAATCTCTAACCATTGTGTGTATGACTTTTCCGTAGATTCATTCCTCTCTAACTGTGAGCAACTGTTAAGTTCTTGTTCCTTCTGTCGCAGGTGTGGACATTGTCAGCGCCTCCAGCCAACATGGAATGATTTGGGAGATAAATACAACAACATGGAAAACGCACAGGTCTATGTTGTTAAAGTGGATTGTACTACAGATACTCCACTGTGCTCTGAATTTGGCGTCCGAGGATACCCTACGTAAGTATGAAAGGATGTCTGCTCCTGTTTCTTTTTTATTTTTCCATGAATCTCTGCCAATTTGTTGAAGCTAACTTCTAAGCTATACTTTCTGGTGGGTTTCTTTGTAGCCCTTTGGACCTCATATGTTCATTTTAAGCCTTTCTTCCATGTTGCCAAGTATCATGTGATACATATCACTCTTGCTCTTCTAAAGAAACTGTTTTATGTCTTGGAAGATGGCTGTGTTTAAACAAAGTCCAGAATTGCCTGTTTCTTTTCTCTGAGAGTCTCTCGTTCTCAAGCAACAGTGCATTATACAGCTGTGATATGCATGATAGAGCTGGTCTCTGGTAATGGTACTTTCCAAAATAACAAGTTTGTCAGTACACTGCACCATTCATAATTCATGTATGTTAATGTATTCAGAATATAAATTTTTGAGTGAAGTTAATCCTCATAAAATGATTAATATTGTTACCTAGCATAGCAGTGGTGATGCTATACAGACCTTTTCTAGGTAATTTTGCATGTATTGATCTAGGACAAATTCACTTGGAGTTTGCGTTGTTAAACTTACCCTGTTATAAAGCATATATGGCATACCCCCTCAGCTTTGGTAGGCAGAACATGATCTAAAACATCTATGAGAGGTCAGCTTGGATAGTACTTCTGGGTTAGATACACGTGCTGCCTTTTTAGCTGCTACAAAGGAGCAGAGGGATTTTTTTTCACTTGTGTCTTCTTTAAAGTTTCTTGCAAAAATGGATGGGATTGTTTCAACCACTTTAGTAATTACTCGTCTTAGTGGGAATAATTGGAGAATGTAATCGTCTGTAGCCCTCCTGCAGCCTGTATTTTTCAGTTTCCCTCCCTTTGCTCACTTTGAGTAGCGTTAACTCCTAACCCCAGCAACAGCCTGAATTTAACATATGCTCGTGGCTGCACCCACTTGGACGCAGATGAGTGCTACTGAGTAGAAGCTGAGAGTTATAAATAGCAAAGTCCTTGTTGAAGTAGGAATTATCCTTAAGGGCAGTTTGTGGCTTAGTTCCACTAGTGATACCAAGAAACAAAGAATACAGAACTCTCTTCTAAAATCCCCAAAACCAAGTATTGGTGTATTTATATATTTAAATAGATTATATTGTGGTGCTGTTCCTTGTGAAATAGAAAGAGTGGCAGATATTTTCAATAAGAAAAAGATGTATGGGCATGTAATTGCTTCTCCTCCCCTCCCTGAGGTCACTGGATGTCTAGGAATAGTTAGTGCTCGCTTTCATCTACTTGAAAAGTATAAATGATAAGGCAGTCATTTGCTAGTTATAGAAATATAGAGATGAAGGGAAATTCATGATATCAATTCTCTTCCTGTCTGAGTCAGTTTTTAACTAGCCTGTTTTTAAAAACCTCCAACAAAGGAAATTTCACAGCTTCCTTGGGCACAGAGGGGTTGTCACAAGGCCAGGATGTGCTGGTTCCTACACTGCTTTTCCAAACACCCATCAAAGGAAAAGCTACATCTCCTTTCCATCCCCCGGAGAGTAAAACTGACTGAGCAGGTCCCTTTGCTTGTTAGTACAATTGTCTCAGGATTATTTGATGCTGCAAAATATTCTCTCAACTAAACTGGAGAAACTTACTCTCATTTGAAGAAAATAAAGGTGTAGTTGGCTCTTTAAGCTGATTAGCTCCTTTTTTTTTTTTCTTGTTTTACTCTTTAAAAGTATTGCCATGAGGTGCATTTTAGATGTTTTTCTGCTTCATTTTTGTTGTTTCCTTCTTATTATGAGCTTGCTTCCTCCCCCCTCCCCCAAAAAAACTTTTTACATTCTGTCATCACAAAGGGCATTCAAGAACACCTTAAATAAAAAGTGGAAGTGGGAGCTCCTGTTTGTTTTGAATGTATTTGCATTCTGTGTTTTTTCAACACTTTCATATGTTCATTTTTTCCAACTGTGGAACTAGAAGAGAGAGGAAAACAGAAAGCAGTACGAAATGACAGCTTGGAAAGGAGAACTGAGGGCTAGTTGACAGTAGTAATTGAAACTATGATTTGCTTTAAAGGTAACACTAGGTCAGAAGTTAATATTGCCCCTTTACCAAATATATTTCCAATTTTAACTTTAATAATAGACATTTTATGTAGTTTATGGAAAAGTTTTGATAGCCATTATTAAATCAATAATCATGAAGTCTTGAATCCCTACTAGTAGTCACTTATGTCTTTGACCTATTGACTTGTTTGAGCATGTTTTTAATCAGTTTAATACCACATGAAAAGTCCTACATTCCACGAGCAGTCATGGAATGAAATGTGAGAAAGAAATTCCTTGGAAAACAAGCATTGGTGATGCAGAGGATTGAACAAAAAAAAAAAAATTGATGCTTTTTGACAAACTGAATTAGGATTCTTAGGCATTATGAATGACTAACCTTAGAACTGAACACTGCAATGTTCTATTTGTTATTGCTTATTAGCTGAAGTAGTGTTAGGCTATGTTGATTTTTAATATGGTATTTCTTTTTGGTATTTTTAAAATGTCCTTTAAAAGCTTACATGGGAATGAAAAAGTATCTTGAGTTCTAGCCATGACCCTGTAAGTGGAGGGAAATGCCTGATGCTGATGTTAATAGTCAAGAGAGCTGTTACTGCAGCCTAAACTGTGTTGCTGTGAATTAGCAGAGCATGTTCACTTTCCAAGAATGTTTCTTGTGTGCAAATTTTTACCTCACTCTTTTCTACATTTTGATCCGTTAGCCTAAAGCTGCTTAAACCAGGACAAGAACCTCTGAAATACCAAGGCCCCAGGGACTTCCAGGCACTGGAAAACTGGATGTTGGAGAAACTAAATGAGGAACCATCTGTAAGTGAAAAGGAAATATTCCCTCCTGAAAACTTGCTTATCTATAATTTCTATAGGTTAGGTTTCATTTTCCAGGAGGAAATCTGCTCCTGAGAATAAAAGTCAGGTGGCAATAACAATATGGGGCAGCTTCCACATAAATCAGCTTAGTGATTAAAACTGTCATCCTGTGACCTGCCCTTTGTTTCCTGTATTTAAAACTACAGCACATAATGCAGTTTTAAATGTTTCACATTTTGACATTTTAAGATACAATTCTTAGTGTTAATTCAGTTGACACCCGTAGGCCATAATGTTTATAGATTAAGAAAAGCAATTTAGCTATAATGCGTTATAAATTGCATTTGTGTTGGGTTTAATTACCTCTTAAATCATGAATGCTGTCTGTAGATCAGTTATCAGATATTCTGATAATGTTGAAGCCTAGAGAAAGCTTTTGAAATAATCAGTTAGGTGAGTTAAGCTAATACCATCACTAAGAAAACCCTTGAGTTTAGGAATAGCATTTACATATAGTAGCCAGGCCTTGCCTAAAATTAAATTTGATTGCTGTTTCTAATCTGGACAAATCTTTAGGGATTGCTGAACCACAGAACATGGTTGTATTGAAACAAACATGATATTTTTAATAATTAAACACTAAATGCTGAAATATTGTAAGACTTGTACTGTGAGGCTCTTAAATTCTTTCCAGCTCTGACCCTAGTATCTAGAAAGTTGCTTTTGCTGAAGTGCCAGTGGGTTTGCTGCAGGTTGTACCTATGAAGTGTGTGCTGTTTTCCCATTGTTGCTGCCTGCATGGACCCATTATGTCCCTCTGTCTGGCAACAGGGAAGCAGAAAATATCCTTTTCACTAGCTATTTTTAAAGAGCCCAAAGACCACTGGAGCTGGTGCGATGGCAGATGGGGCAGATGTGTGATGCTATGGAGGAACTGTTATGTAATCTAAGTGTATTAATATATGGTGATGTGATGAATGCCATAGCAATTTATTGTGCTCTGTCACTGTACTCCAGTGACTGCTAGCTCTTTTCTGTGTGGGAGTCTTTTTCACATTTTGCTTTCAAGTAGTTGTTCATTAGGAAACAGTAGATACCTAAATCAAGCTAAATAAGGACATTGCTTTCGGAATTTAAAATTTCAGTGTTTACAACACTACCACAGAATGGTGTGATACAGGAATCAAATATTGTTTATTTACTGTACAAGGCAAATTAAAGTTATTTTTTTCTCATGAATAGGATCCAGAATCTGATGTGGAACCACCAAAAGCCCCTGAACCTAAGCAGGGAATGTATGAACTCTCAGCAGACAATTTCAAGATGCACATAGCAGAAGGTAACTATTTTTTTCATACGCAAGAGACACTTGCTTACAGAGACATCAATAGTGGGAAGTCTGCAACATAAATATTAGTTTTCAAGGTACCTCCTTTCCACTTTTATTTTCCAGTGATACCTAGTGAAAGAGGATTAAAGCTACAGACTGTAAAAATGTAGTAGTGTGTTTACACATTGCGCACCATGAGAAAGTTGAAGAAAACCACTCCACTCAGAAGGCAGTAAAATTAAGGCCCCTAATCACATGGAAGAAGCTAGCAGGGCTTGCTTGACTAAACTGTTTCTTTCCTAGAGTGCCTTGCCACTCACTTTGTGTTTTTGCAAGTCGAGTTTCCTCTTTCACTGGGTGCTGGCTTATTCTTACTCCCAGGCTGCTGTTCTAGATAAATATAATCCACCCACTTCATCCTTGCTGCCCCATCCCACTTCAGTCTGGCCCCTTATTTAGCTTTCTTCCTCCAGAATTTAATGTGGGCAAAACACTTCACTTGTTTGGCCATTTTAAAAAATATTTTGTCTTGGAACCTTTTAAATTAATGCCAGGATCAATACCTAACATGGGAAATTTCACCACCCAAATGGTGGCTTTTTTAGAGAATGAGCAGAATCTTACCATACCAACTTTGGGCTGTCATAACAACAGGTTATCTCTGTTTTCCTAAAAACAAAGGCTGGATTAAATTAACTGTCTGTGTCCATGTGATACCACCAGTGAGGTAGATATTTGAGCTTCTTAAAGCAGCCATTCATTGATTAGAAATATATTCAAGTGTAAAGGAGCATCTTACGCAGCTAACTTAAAATTTCCCAGCCTGTGTGGCTTAACACATAATTACAATGAAATTCTTCATGGATTTTTCTCTAAGCCACCAGTGCTAAGCATTAAAAAACTTTACAGTCTGAGAAGATAGTAGTGTATCTGTAAATGTTTTAATATTTTTATTGTAATTTTCTTGTTATGTATCTGTTGGCATTCATAGAGGAGACATTTGCACGGTCATATCCAATGGCTGAGCAGGTTTATGATCATCTGTAAAGCTGCTGAAGTCTCTCTGACTTCAATTACAAGAAGTTCAGTACTTAAATTTCATAGTATCATGGAACGGTTTGGGTTGGAAGGGACCTTAAAGATCTAGTTCCACCATCCTTGCCATGGGCAGGGACACTTTCCATTAGACCAGGTTGTTCAAAGCCCCAGCCCAGGCCATGAACGCTTCCAGGGATGGAGCAGCCACAACTTGTCGGGGAAACCTGTTCCTGTGCTTCACTTTCATAGTTAAGAATTTCTTCCTTATATCTGATCTAAATCTACCCTCTTTCAGTTTAAAGCTGTTTCCCCTTGTTCTGTCTCAATATGCTCTTGTCAGAAGTCCCTCCAGATTTCTTGTAGACCCCCTTTAGGTACTGGAAGACTGTTAAAAGGTCTCCCCAGAGCCTTCTCTTCCCCAAGCTGAACAACCCCAACTCTCTCAGCCTGTCTTCATAGGAGATGTGCTCCAGCCCTCTCATCATCTTTGTGACCCTCTTCTGGACTCGCTCCAAAAAGTCCACATCCTTCTTATGAGGGAGCCCCAGAGCTGAATGCAGTACTCTAGGTGGAGTCTCATGAGGGCAGAGTAGAGGGAGAGAATCACCTCCCTCGGCCTGGTGGCCATGCTTCTTTTGATGCAGCCCAGCATACAGTTGCCTTTCTGGGCTGCAAGCAGACACGGTTGGGTCATGTTGAGCTTCTTGTCAACCAGCACCCCCAAGTCCTTCTCCTCTGGGCTGCGCTCAATCCATTTTTCACCCAGCCTGTATTTGTACTTGGGATTGCCCCAACCCTTGTGCAGGACCTTGCAACTTGGCCTTGCTGAACTTCCTGAGGTTTGTGCTGCCCTACCTCTCACGCCTGTCACGGTCCCTCTGGATGGCATCCCTTCCCTCCAGCATGTCAACTGCACCACACAGTTTAGTGTTCATGGCAGGCCTGCTGAAGGTGCACTCAATCCAACTGTTCATGTTGCCAGTAAAGATGTTAAACAGCACCAGTCCCAACAGTGACCCGTGAGGAATGCTACTCATCACCAATCTCCTCTTGGACATCAAGCCATTTTAGCAGGAGGTGTAGCAGTTCCAGCTGGAAGGTTAACTTTTGTTCTTAAAAAGTCTTCCTTTACTTTTTTCATGTTCTAGAGTAAAAAGATTCTTTATTCTTTGTTTCTGTCGGGGAGGAGAGTATATCAGAGTATGTGGCATGGAATAGCTGATTTTTACTAGATATTTATTCATAAGAAATTTCAGTTTGCCGTTTACTTAACCAAAGCAAAGCATTTCAATCTATTTGAAAGTCTTCTATGTGCAGACCAGGCAAGTTAGAGTACAGTACTAACTACAGTTTCCATTTCCTAGTTATTTTATGACGTCTTTCCTCTGACCTCCTGTTGTGAACAAGCCCTCAAATTAGAAATGAATTCTAGTAATATTGGACCCAAAGCAGTCTTCAAAGGATTGTGAATACTTCTGTTAAAAAGAGCCATTCTCCAGTTACTGGTGTTTCCTTCAAATTAGATTTTTTCCTTGTTTTAATTAAGTTAATTTTTATTTCATATTAATAGAGTCTTGCCTTGACGTGTGCAAAACTGTGCAGCATCTTGAATTAATAGTAATCTCAATTGAAGGAAATCACATTTTCTAGTACTCTGCAATTAAGAATATCCTTTTAAACTAAACATCTCTATAAACCACTGCAAAAATCCGCTAAAAGCAGTGATTCCTGAGTAGTTAACATGAAAATACAAAGAGCAGGGCAGACAAAGAAGAGTGTAAAGCTGAACAAAATGATTTAGGTAGTTCATTGACTTAATGTAGTGGTGTTTCCTAATAAATACTTAAGTTGAAGTCTAATACTTACTTTCATATATGGTGTTATAAACACATGTGCCTTGGTGGTTCTTTCTACTCTCTAATAGGTCAGGTGATTGACATGGTAGAATTAGACATTTGTCCAATGGTTAGGTTAAAATTATCAGTTTTAGCATGTCATTTTGTTGGCTTGAGGTTGTGAAGCTGTTTGGATTTTCAGGGAAATTGGCAACACTGGGACTGCATACAGTATTGAAAACCTAATTGCTGAAGCATTCTGTCCTGGCCTTTGATTTACAGTGTTTCCTATCTTTAACTCAGGAAATACCGTGATAAATTTGCAGTCTGAGATTAGAACTTAGTCTTTAAAAGCAGTGAAATTCATTCCAAAGAAGTTAAATGTGATGTTTTGTTTTGGTTTTTTTTCTTTCCTTTCTTTCCTTTTTTTTTTCCCTTCAACTTAAAAGGTAATCACTTCATCAAATTCTTTGCCCCTTGGTGTGGTCATTGTAAGGCTTTGGCCCCAACCTGGGAACAGCTGGCTCAAGCCTTTGAGCATTCAGAAACTGTCAAGATTGGCAAGGTAGGTGAAGTGCTCTTCATTTAAAAATGTGTTTTGTATGAATGCATGTTTCAGCCAAGTATCATGCTTTTCGTGCTTTGATTCGCAAGTAACAATTGTTTTGTCACCTCTTAAATGCTTTTATAGTCATAGTTTCTACTTTAATTTAGTGATTTATTTTTTTTCCCCTCATACATCCACAGTTGACAGGACTCCCTCATTTTAAGCAAGTACTTGTTAGAAACACAGCCAGCTTCCTGTGTTTGAGAGAGAGAGACAGGAATAAGTCCAATACTTCAAATGCATGGAGTAATATTTTGAGAATTGTTTTTAATTATGCTTCCCCTTTTTCAGAACTTGATAGATGTCAGTATTTATTTTGATTGGGAAAGTGACTTTTAATTTGCTCTTTACCACACTGGATTCCTTAGCAAGCTTTAGATCTACAGGGCTCCTTATGATGACTTACTTCTTGATTGGTTGTTTTTTTTAATCTCTTTACCTCCCTAGAACTTTCTAAAGGTTTCAGGGGGTCTTCCACCTTAAAAACTGATATCTTGTCCTGCTTTACTATTTCTCTTAGGGTTGATAACCAGGTTCTGTGGTGTATTTACCATGGGAGCTTGTTACTTGTACGTGGAGTGACTTCTGTGCTGAGGTATGGAGGTGGTCTGGCAATTGCAGTTACTGCCTTTATTTGCTGACCCATACCTAAGTTCAGGTGGCTCATGATGTGAATCCCGCTGTACTTGCCAACAGTGGAAAACTGACAGGGCTCAGCTTCCATATCCTTAAGCTTTCTGAATGGTACCAGTGATCTGAAAGACTGCGTAATGGTCAGCAGTGTTGTCAGTCCTGCAGAGGGACAAGACCCCAGCTATCTTCTCTGCCTCTGCCCTCATAGCACTTTCAGATGTTACTAGGGGTGATGAGCTTGACTTTATTTATTAATGCTTTTGAAAATCCACTAATTCAGGTACGCTGTAGATGTAGAACAGGTCAGCATAGTTGAACTTCATAGAGAAGACGTATGAATTTATATATTAAAAAAATTGAGACCTGGGTATAAAATTGGATTCTGTCTGAAAATAAAATACGAAAGGCTCCTTTGATGTTGTCTGTACCAAATGTTGCATCTGCTGATTTACTTTTTGAGAACCTTGCTTGCTATCTTGTGAAATCTTTGCTTAGCTTAAGCAGCTTCTTGAAGTTACCATTCTCTGACACCCAGAGAAAAATGAACAAAAAATGGTCAAAATTTCTGTTTTATTCACTTGTCTGTCATTTTTGCAGTTATTCTTACTGGTAGTTCCATTTAATAAAGCCACTGAGATTTGTCTGGATGCCTAATCAATTTTGTGAAACTGTATACCCTGTGAAACTATTTCAAACATGTCTTGGCTAAGATTGTAAGTCTGTAAGTAGACATGGAACACAACTGTTTCAAAGAAGGTTGAACCTGAATCTTTAGAATTGATCTTCAGTGGTCTGGAGCGAAGTGTTTCTAATGTAAAATTCATAATCCAAGTGCTGTGTTGAGCAATGACTCCAATGCTTAAGTAATCTTTTTTCCTGCTTCAAAAAAGATGATAAACTGATAACTTTACAGATTGGTTTATGACATATTAGAATTGAATGTTACTATGTACTTGGACCTTCCTTTGGGGTAAAGTTAACTTGCTAGCTCTTGACGTGCCTTCTGAAGTCTTTAAAGAGTAGTCTTTTAAAAAATGGATGAGCCAATATATCTTCACTTTAAAACTCTCTCACATTAGTGTTTTGTATCTTACTGTCCATGCAGTTATTTTACTCACTGAGAATACCAAGTACTTTTAAACTGGAATACTTAATTACGTTTTCATTGTTCTTTGCAACTGCTACTACTGCCGCCTTGTCCGTACCTCCCTCCTTGATCCCTCCTAAAAAAAAATAATAAAATAATCAAACAAACATAGAGCCTCTCAGTTATATAACCCAACCACTGTTTGGAAGGCAGACATAATCATTCTCAAGACAGTGCTTGGTACTGAGTTTTGCCAACCCATGTATTGGTTGTTCCTGTATTTTTCTGAGATTGTAAACATCAGGGAGGGTATGATGTTTGTTGTATGTCTGTTTCATGCACTGAATGGTTTGTTTGTTTATTTATTTATTTTAAACTGTAGGTCGACTGTACCCAGCATTCCAAAGTCTGCTCTGAAACCCAAGTTCGTGGCTATCCCACGCTCCTGTGGTTTAGGAATGGTGAAAAGGTGAGTCTGCAAGCTCAGCAAAAGATAAGACCATTTTTTCTGAATAATACTTGGACTATGTTTGTATCCTGGGAAAATAGATCAAGAGGGTATATATGAAAGTCTGCTTGTGAGAGAAAAGATGGTGGAGGTTCAGTCAGATACTGGAAGAGGTATACTTCATCCACAAATAAAAGATACTTTTTGGCTGTTTGTGCTCTGCAAGTAACTGATCTGGTGTTCATAAATCTGTAAGCAGTATCTCCAATTATTCTACTGTGCAAGAGAAATAAGGGTTTACTTTATCTTATTACCTTACCTCCTATTGAACACAAAACCATGGATGAAATATAAATAATTTTAAAAGTATATAATTTTCACAGTTTTCGTCTGTAAGTGGTGCCTGTCTGAGTGATATTTGAGTCGTGAAAAATTTCCTTCTTATAAATCTGAACACTTTATATGACAGTGAAAGTCCTGTGGGCCCAGTTGACACTTTTTCTTGTAGCAATTAAAACAATTACAATATTCTAAAGTTACAGGGAAGTAAAATATTTGTGAATACCAGGTACATGAACAGCAACAAAAAAACATATAAATAGTAGTGTTGCTTATCATATGTTTCACACTTTCAAGGTTAATTAAATGTATGAGTCCAGAGGAGGGCCACAAAGATGACTCGAGCGCTGAAGCACCAATTTTGTGAAGATGGGCTGAGAGAGTTGGGCTTGTTCAGTCTGGAGAATGCTCCAGGAAGACCTTACAGTAGCCATCCAGTACCTAAAGGGGGCCTGCAAGAAATCTGTACCTTTTTACAAGGGCGTTTAGGAGTAGGACAAGGGATAGCGGCTTTAAGCTATAAAAAGGTAGATTTAGATAAGACTTAAGGAAGAAGTTCTTTACTGTGAGAGTAGTGAGACACTGGGGCTTCGAGCAACCTGGTCTAGTGGAAGGTGTCCCTGCCAATGGCAGGTATGTTGGAACTAGATGATCTTTAAGGTCCCTTCCAACCCTAACCAATCTATGAAATAATAATAGGTCTGCATGCAGAGAACCCAGGACTCTTCTTTCAGCTCTTACCTGCTAAGTTTTGGAGGGCCTTGTTTTTTTGCCCCATTCATCTTGCGTTCCTTTTGAACATCTACAGTATCAGAGTTGTTTTATTACTCAGTCCAGTTTAGTGGGTGTTGCCTGTGGCAGTTTTCTGTCGCTCTAAAGAGAAATTAGCCGTAAGTACATGCCAGTGCCTGTGAGGTTTGGTATAAGCACCCCTGTAAGATCAGACACTCCAGAGGATTTAATGAAGCAGCACTGGGACTTTTGAATTCCAGCCTGACTCATGTGGAAATACATGGTCTTGTTACTGCTTGAGCAGTGGCCTCTGGCACATGTCAGAAGCAGATTTGGAAGCAGAGGCAATGCTCAAGTCAAACGTGGTGGCATGCCCAAGGTAAGAGGTGTTTTCAGTTAATTAAACATGTGAAGTCTTTTGCTGTTTCTCCAGGATAGTTTTCCACCTGCTTTATTTTTATTTTTCAGATAGCTACAGATGGCAAGATACCTTGCCAGAGCCATACTGTCTTGATGTAGAAAAGTTAGCTGTGGTTTTTCTCGAGCAGCCAGATCTTTTTTTTTTCTTGACCCTTTGTAATTATTGAAGTTTGAGTTGCTCTGTTATTTGCATCAAGAGTGCAGTGAAAGAAAAAGTCAGATCACTGCTCTTGTATATGGTAAAACTGAATCTCAGCTGTTAGTTTGAACAATATATTTCGGTTGACATCAGACTGGCTTTTCTCCATTGGCAGTGTGGTATTCCCTGGTGGCCGTATGCCATCAGAATCACATGTTCTTTCATGGGCTGATACAATATATTTAAACAAAAGAACAAACAAACAAAAAGATCCCCCCAACAGCTTTCCAATAATCTGACCCAGAAATTCCTGGAAATCTCTCTTGCTGCTCTTGTTCAGTAAGGGAGGGGAGGAGGATGAGAACTGTTTCAGCCATCCAGCCCTATTGTCCAGCCCTGTTGTTATAACTGAAGTCTGGCATCACACCATACTTGTTGGTTTGATGCAGCAGAAGCCCTGGGAGGAATGAGTGGGCACTGCCCTGCTGAAGTGGGTGCAAACAAGCAGGTATAGGCTTCTTGCATCATCTTATATTAATTCCTTTGTGATTTAGACCAGTGTGGGGAAAGTGGCTATAGTTACAAGTAACATTATCAATGACAAAAGTGTTTGTTAGAAAGAGTTCCAAAAATGTGGGA